ATTGGCTGCCTGAGAAATCCTTGACTTGAAAGCGAATATAAATGTTTTTAATATGTTTTATAATCGTCAGGCTATAAATTTGATTTTATTCAAAGCTCTTTTATTGCTGAATCTTTTCGGTTATATTTGTAAATATTTATATGCTTTCCTTACTAGTATATTTTTTTTAGACAAACAACTTTTTGTTTGCCTAAATTTACTATAAAATGCTTATAATAAATCTTTATTTATGAGAAACACATTTCTTAAATGGGTTCTAAGATTTGTTAACGACTCAATTGTTAATGTTGGTTCTATTTTGCATTTCAGATATCTGTGGTTATATATTTATTATATGTAAATTTGGGAATAAGTGCAGTTATTGGATCCATTGTGTGTATAGTGATAATGACTCCCCTGCAATTTGTAATTGGAAATGCAATGTCAAAAAATGCCGAGGTTATTGCAGTAAGTAATTAAATTAGCGTGAAATTAAATATAGTTAAGTATATCATAAACTTGTTTTAAAATTTCGTTGAATTTTCATAGAAATATACCGATGAGAGATTGAAAAAAATACACGACACACTGGTGGGCATCAAAGTCATTAAACTGAATGCCTGGGATGAGGTATTTCTCAAAAAGATTCAAGAGGCCCGCAAGAAGGAGATTAAGTATCTCAACAAGGATGCAGTTTTCTGGACACTTATGGGTAAGTTAAAAACATGAAATATTTAGGGGACTATAACTACAATAAAATGTTTATTTTTCCTCCAAAATAGCCGTACTCACACATGTAGCCACCGTTTTGATCACATTTGTAACCCTGGGTGTTTATGTTTGGCTCCATCGGGACGAGGAGTTCGACCTGAATGCCAGTCGACTGTTTTCCTCGCTGGCACTTTTCCAGCAGCTCACAGTTCCGCTGCTGATCTTTCCCATCACCGTGCCCATTATCATAGCAGCCAGGGTGTCCACGCGCCGCCTGGAGCGATTCCTCAAGTCCAGCGAGATCCAGAAGCAGTTCGAGGGCATCCGAAACATGGCCAGAATCTTGAGCAAAAGCGATGCCTCGTTGGACATGTACGAAACGCAGGAGAAGTCGAATATGACAATGCGAACGGCACAAGCGGAAAATCGGTTAAATGAGAAGCGACTGGCGCAAAAGTCTCAGACTCCGGAATTGCCCACCAATTCCACTCCGCTGTTGCAACATAATGAGGAATCCACTGCGGGCGATACATCCACTTCTTCGATCCAGGAGGTTGGTCACAACAAAATGGTGCAACAGCGTCGCGAACTGCTCCGGAACACTCCATACGTGGCCATCCGACCACCGAAAATGCGCGGCAGTGTGGCCGACAGACCCGTGGAGTTCTCGGTCATCCGGGCTCGGAACACGGATAGCTGGCGGCGGGATTCGCTGCTGCTCAAAATGCCCGATGACATTGCCGTCTCCATCAACGACGGCCTCTTCACGTGGCAGCCACAAAGCCAAAGTCCAAGCCAAAGCCAAAGCCAAAGCCAAAGCCAAAGCCAAAGCCAGATGCCAGTGGTGCAGCTGCATGTTCCCGGCATCATTGTGCCCAAGGGCAAGCTGACCATCGTGGTGGGCAAAAACGGCAGTGGCAAGACATCCCTTCTATCCGCCCTGCTCATGGAGATGCCGCTTCTGGCGGGCAACATGTTTTGGCACAAGTGAGTAACAGATATTATTATTATGATTAGTTCTTTATTATGCATCTCAGTATTACAAGTAAAAACTCTTAATTTAATGTGCTAGTTACGTTGTGTTAAGACATGCGATTACAAATACCATGTTCTAATTTATAATTTGCTTAGAATATTATTAGTATTTAACCTTAATATATAAAAATTAAATTCAAACAAATAAATATGTACATATGGGTTGGAAATCATTCAAAAATTGTCTGTCAGTTACTTTTTAAATTAAATCTAGGGTATTTAAAAACTATTTTTTAAATAGAATTCAATTCAAATTTTAAAATATTTTTACAATATTTGATTGTTTAATTTTTTTCGCCTTTTTTTAATAAATTAAAATTAAAAAAAAAACAAAATTAAAAAGCAAAGCTATAGTTTCTTATTATTAGTTTTTCCGATTGTTTTTATGGAAACTATAGTCTGAAACATTAAACTAATAGTATACAACAAAGAACTAACAAAAATAATTAAAAAAAAAACAGCAAAGTTATAATTTTTTTTCATTTGTTATCCCGATTGTTTTTTATAAAAGCTATATGATATAGTCGTCAGATCTGGCTCGTTCCGTCTTAAATACCGCAACAGATAGACAATCCTGCGTTTACTAGTAAACCATAGATTAAAAAATAAATAGTATTTAATAAATTTTGTTTAAAATATGATAAATTTTTTGACTTTTTGGCATAAGCTAAATAATCGACATTTAATCTCATAAAAAGCTACCAAAAGATTATATTATTAGGGTGTAAAAATGTAATGTAATATTTTTGTCTAAAATCCTATACCCTGCAGCAGCATTTGTTATTTTCCTTGGTATCTTCTTTTGGAAAAGTTTATTTTTGTATTTTAGTTTCAAAACATGTTCCCATTCTAAGCGCTTTTTGGTGTAGCCAAAACCTTTGAAAACCTTAGGCAATCTCCCTGTGGCCAAGATTAAGCACGTTTCCTTGTCTGTCAACACAGCAAAACCGGAACACGGTGCTCATGTAAATTTGCTTAGCTATTTATGTGCTTATTTTCAGTTCTGTCAACAGCAGTAGCAGTAGCAGCAGCTTCGCCCCATAGTGGATAAGTTTGTTTGTCCATTTATCAAATTTAATTGCATAATTTTCACCTATTTTCATGTGCAGATTACCATGGCCACACAGTTTAAAATAGCTCATTTTAAAAATAGAACTATGTGGATTAGTATTGATTTTAACTACAGCTAGTTTATTTAGCTAGTTTGCAGTTTAAATCTCTAAAATTGTTTTTTACTTTACATTATTCTCACACTTGTACAGTAAATCAAAGTATTGCATACTCAATTTAAATGTTTTTCGCTTTGCTTTCATCCATTGCGGTTATTAAATTTTTTAATTATGGAAATAATAAAATTGTGCTCCACATTTAATTAGACTAGTTTTCGAATAGTTTTTATTAACTAAAATATAACAATTAAATTTAAACCAGTTTAATACTTAAATATAAAGCAAAACAAATAATACCTAATTTAAATCATACCTATACTTTTTACATTTATTAAAATATTTTAATATTAATATAATGATATAAAAATGCAACATAAAACATAAAAATTAAATTTAAACCAGTTTAATACTTAAATATATATAAATATATACCTAATTTAAATCATATATTTTCTAAATTTATTAAGATATTTTAATATTAAATCTTGCAACATAATGATTTTATATGTAATTTAAATATGACATTTATTTTTACCACTCGATTTTCTAACAGATTACCTTTGTCATTACCCTATTATGGAATAGAGTATATCTTTGTCAAGTTTAGAGAGTTTGTTGAGTCTTATTGATTTTTTTTTGGCTGATTGCCCGGATAACCCATTTTCCGGAAGTGGAAACCAAAGGAAACCTCGGCCAGCAGCAGGTGGAATGGAATAGCTTAAACTTGCATTGTTGCAGCAATCGAATTCGCCGCAGTCATTCAACATATTTTAACAGTCGTTTCAATGCACGCCACGTGATTCGGTAATTTATCACAAAACGCCTGTGTACGTTGTTAATTTTATTGCACATAAAATAAAAAAATGGCATCGCCGTCTGCCAGAAGGCGGAGTTACTGGGCATATATACAAATGCATTTAACTGCTGGAAATCGCGGAGCGGAAACGAGGATGCCTGTGCACTTGCACTTGCCTTACTTGCAGCACCGAAACCAATTCGATCCTGTGGCCCTAGCTTCTATTGCTTCCCTCAGGACGACTGCCTGCTCCTTTCCTTGCCATTCCATTCCTTCCCCACATCCTTTCCTTGGCAACCGGCAAATGTGCAATAATTTCAATTACTGTAATAAATGTCTATGTTAGTTTGAGTCCCTTTTTTTTTCTGTGGTATCTTCAAGGCTTCGTGCTCCTTTCCTTTTTGCCTTGCAAATTTATGTTTCTACCATACGAACTGGCTGCAATGCATTAAATAAGAATCTTTTTATACCATGCTCTCCCAATGAAGCCTTTTAAATATTTTCGTTGGATGGTAACTGATTTTATGAACTTGAGTAATATACTTACCAAGTATAATATTTATGCAACAATTTTAAACGCTTTAAATGACGGGAGGTGCATTTGTAATATAAATTTGTTTTGTATCTCACTGACAACATAGTACTTAACTTACCAAAAACCTTTTTATAAAACCCTTTATTATTAAATTTAAAAAATTATAAAACATCACTATTTCTTACAAGTCGCCACAAGACTCTAAATGAAGTATAAGTATTAGGAAAAAGTAAAAGTATTAAATAGTATTAAAGTTACAATAATAAAAAACTGCATTTAGTTAATAAAACAAAAAACAAATTAACAAAAAAAACCTGTTCCTCCAGGAATTAAAGCTAAGTTTAGTTTGAAATGTATAAAATGTAAATTCCAATTTTAACCAAATTAATTTATTATTTATTTAATTAATCCCTATTTGTCTTTCACAGAACCTGCACAATTTCGTACGTTTCGCAACAGCCTTGGCTCTTGAACGACACCATTCGGGAGAATATACTTTTTGGGGAATCCTTTCGACCCAAACGATATGATTTCGTGTTGGAAGCCTGTGCCCTCAAACCAGATATTGAAATAATGCCCAGAGGCGATTTAACTGTGATAGGAGAGCGCGGAATAAACATTTCCGGCGGACAGAGACAGCGAGTGGCTATAGCTCGAGCTATATACTCATCGGCTAATGTTGTCATTATGGTAAGTCTTTCCTATACTGATAATAACTATTTAAGATAAATCTATTGATCCAAGGGACTAAACAAACGAGTGACATTTGAATAACATGTAGAGTTTATTTGGCTTTTTCATTCTGTCCCCTATAAGCCCCATAACCCGTTGAAAATATATTTTGAAATTTTCCAAAATGTCCTTCGATCAAAAGGAGATCTTCAGCTTGATGTACAAGCTGGCCCGGCTTATAGTGCCGGATACGCGGGTTGAATACGATTCGATGGGTGCAATGCACATTCCCCTTGATCGAATGTACGGTCCGCAGACCCTGCGATCCCTGATCAAGTTTCCCATTGGCGGAGTCGAGGAACGCATGCCTGTATATCAGACTTTAACTATAACGTACAAAATATAGATCCTTATAGTGATTTAACCCACAGCGACCCTTAATAAAAGCCATGGGAATTGTGAAGAAAGCGGCTGCGGAGGCGAATAAAAATTGTCTTGAGGAGAAATTGTGCGATGCCATTTCGAAGGCCTGCGATGATGTGATATCCGGAAAACTCTACGAAGAAGAGCATTTCCCGTTGGTTATCTGGCAAGATGGCTGTGGCGAGCACACTAACATGAACATAAACGAGGTGATTTGCAACCGGGCCATCGAGATCCTGGGCGGTCAGGTGGGCACCAAGGATCCAGTGGACCCAGATGAGCATGTCAACCTGTCGCAGTGCTCCCATGACACCTTCACCACAGCGGCCCGAATTGCCGTGGCCATGCAGTTGCAGGAGAAGATGTATCCCAGCCTAAGGACGTTTATCGATCTGCTGGCCAAGAAGTCCAGCGACTGGAGGGATGTGATTAAAATCGGTAGAACCCACCTGATGGACGCAGTGCCTCTGTCGCTGGGTCAAGAATTCAGTGGCTATCAGCAGCAGCTGGTGAATGGTAGAACTCGTTTGGACTCGGCCCTTTGCAGGCTGTACGAGTTGCCCATGGGAGGTTCCATGGTGGGAACCAAAGAGAACACCACACAGGGGTTTTCCGAGCAGTGCATCAAGCGGATTGCCGATCTTACATTCCTACCCTTTGTGGAGTCCCCGAATTTCTTTGAATCCATGTCCGCCTGCGATGCATTGGTCGAGTTGCATGGCGAACTCAACACCATAGCGGCGAGTTTGATGAAGATAGCCAATGATATTCGCTTGCTGGGATCGGGTCCGCGTAGTGGTTTCGCTGAACTAAATCTCCCGGAGATCGAACCAGGGTGTGCGATCATGCCCGGCGTAGTGAAAGCATCGCAGTGTGAGGCTCTGACCATGATCTGCGCCCAGGTGATGGGCAACCAAGTGGCCGTTTCGATGGGCGCTTCCAGTGGACACTTTCAACTCAATACTTTCGTGCCGATGATCGCCTCGAATGTCCTGCGCTCCATCACCCTGCTGGGCGATGGCATGAAGTCCTTCTGCATCCACTGCCTGGAGGGCCTCGAACCGAACAAGAGCAGGATCGAGACCATCATGAAGGACTCCCTGATGCTGGTCACGGCCCTCAGTCCCCACATCGGATACGAGCGATCGGCTGGGATCGCCATCGCTGCGCACCAGAATGGCACCACCTTGAAGCAGGAGGCCCTCAGGGCGGGCATCAAAATGGAGGACTTCCAGGAGTGGGTGCAGCCCAGCAAGATGTTGGGACCCGATAATTGAACGGGACACACGAAATGATCTTATTCCACTATATGTCGGTTAAATTATTAGCGCATTTTTAAGTTATTAAAGCAATTCTTAAATCCTTTATGTAAAAAGTAATAAATGTGCTTAATACTATAATTACCCCTTTTAATACCCGATATTCGTTGAGTAAAAGGGTATACTGTGTTTTATTTTATGAAAGACTCAAATTTAAGGCAATTATTCCTAATGCTAAGTCAATTTTTCCTAAAATCAAGGAAATCAAGTTTTCTGAGTGTAGACTTCAGTCATTAAGCTTTGTATGTTTATTCACACATATCATTTTTCCAAATCGAAGCAATTTTTTCGAAGTAACTACCATTAATTTCAATTTTCCGTCAGATGGCGCGACCTAAAATTCAATTATTTTCAAGGGCATATTTTCTTAACATTGGTTATCTGAGTAATGGGTATCTAGTAGGTTGTTCACCCGATTACAGCGTTCCTTCTTGTTTCAGTATTTTAATTAAATATATTTAAAACAATATATATTTTTCTTTTTAGGACGATCCCTTAGCCTCGCTTGATAACGAAGTGGGCGAACACATATTTCAGCACTGCATTCGACAGATGTTACAAAAGTCAAATCGAACTTTTATTCTTGTGACACAACAATTACAACGCATAAAGGAAGCCGAATATGTAGGTATTTTAGTTGATAATACTTACACTTTTTTACTTTTTGTAACAATTAAAATCAATTAAATTTAAAGTTTTTTTAATTCTTTATTATATATTTTTATAATTGTCTTTTAAATGCAATCTTTATTTTTGTATATAATCATCGCTAATTGAAATTTATAGTTTAATTGAAAACTAAATTTAATCTAATTTTTCGTGTATATTTTAATGTTTTATTTTATTTTCAGTTGATTGCAATCAAAGATGGTCGCGTCGAAGCGTGTGGTAGTTATGCGGATATTGAGCTAATGCATCCGCGTATTACCTCCAAATGGAATTCGATTATTGCAATGGCGCAGGCCAAGAAAGATAATGTTTCACAAAAGTAAGTTTTTTACTTGTGTGTGCATTACTTATATAAATATAATAAATTAACTTCACAATATATTTAATTATTTAGTCCTGGCGAACGAACAGCTGGGGAGCGTTGGAAACTGCTGAGAAATGTGAGCAAGTTGGGATTGCAGCGTTCGATCTCGGTGACAATGGACTCGAATGCCGGTTGCAATGCAGATGCTACTGATGGCAGTGGCTGTATTTCGGTGGCTAATATGCCACCAAATGTGGTCGAAGAGGATGAGGAGGATGACCGAGTGTCGGCGGTAAGTGATGAAAATAAATGTAAATAATATGGTTTAAGTAATTATTTATTTATATTTCGCCCTAGTCATATCCCATTGGCAATGGATCTTGTGGATCGTTCAATCTGCAGCGAAAGCGTTCCAGCATTTATGGCTCCAGGCATTTGATGTACGATGTTCCCCTTCCTATAGACGAGTGTCAGGGCGATGATGTAATCATGCGACCTCGTCGCCGGCATACCCTAAGTCGTCGTGGCAGTCGAACGACCAACTCCTGGCACCGATTGAGTGGTCTGAGCACTCTGACGGCCACTTCCGCCTCGAGTTCCACCAGCGGCGATCTCCTGAGTCGCAGTGTCCTGGCCACCAGTTGCAGCAGCTATGGGGAAAGCAGTGTGGATGGCAGCGACTTGGCCGCAGCACCGCCAGAACCACGAGTACAATCCTGGCAGCCGCCCCATAACGCACCCCATCAACCCCTGTCCCGGAATGCTTCCTCACCGCCCGCCATGGAGGTGGTCAATCCCGACAATAAGGAGTCGGAACCGCCAATGAAGGTCAATGCGAGCGCGGAGGGTCCTTTGGATGAGCAGGTGCGAGGCAGTTTCCAGCAGTTCCTGCGACGAATGTCCATGCGGCGTTCCAATAAGCCCAAGTGTCACCATCATCCTTTGAGCGCCACCAACTCTATTCTGTAAGTATAGAATTATATGAACTATAATTTTGTATATTAAATTTATAAAATTGAAAATTGGGTAAAATGTAAAATTACTAAGGGAAGCTATGAAAGATAAGGAATTTGTATCACATCATGAAGACAAAATTTATTGTCACAGTTGTAGAAATGCAGACAATTATTATAAAACTAGAATATTTTATTCTCAAACAAAAAGTTATAAAGTTGTGCAAATTTAAGATACAAAGATATCATAAAAGATTACTTTTGTATTCTTAATTGGCTATTTGAAATACACCTTAAAATTAATATTAAATTTAATTAAATATAAAATATAATTATTAAATATAAATATTATTTATTAAAATATATCGTGAATTCTTCACAAGATTTGCCCTAATTATATTTTATATATCATATAATATTTTTGATCAGGATCAAAAGCTTTGTTGATTAAGCCATGTCTATATTTGAAAACCTGCATATCCGGAACTAAAAATACTAAAGTCATTATTTAAGAAACTGTAACTTTTTAATTCTAAATCTTAAATTTTTTAATCGTCTTTCAATTTCATCAGTTTTATATGTACGTTTTTTCGTTCTATTTTATTTATTATTGTTCATTCTAATTTATACTACTTATAGGAGCATTTCTGAGGAGTCTCCTCCTGTTCTTCATTTTCCTGCTCCACTTTTGGCTACGGATGCTTCGCCCCGCAGTAATTTTGTTCAGGGGGAATTGCCATCAGAGGAAAAGCCCAAAAAATGTAAGTAAAAGATATTTATAACTCATCAAACCTCAATTTTTTTTTTCAAGGCTAAGTTAAACCCATAAACTAACATCTACAACTATTGACAAGAAAATTAGTTTTCTTAGTTTTCAAGTGTGTTAAGCTTTCATTTAAAGCTAACGTTCCCTGGCGCCATGGAACTGCTTTTATGTACTGCAATCTTTGGTAATGAATATTGATTAGCATAAATTTATTCAGTTGGGCGTGAAAACTGAAAACTGAAAGCGAAATATTGGCATTATATTCGACAACGGAAATTTCTCATTCCTCGCACTTCAATGCCAATACACACGGGGTCCTTCTACTTTTAGTTTACTCCTCGTTGCATGCGTGTAGCTTAAAACTTAAATCAACTTTGATTTTAAAAGTTTTGAGCTCCCAAGCGGTAAGTCAAAGAGACAGTGTTCCAGGGCGCGAAAAGTTGGCTAGGCACAAACTTTGGCCAAACTTGATGCATTGATCTATCAATATTTGGCTGATAAGTCAGCTGGTTCGCAGTGAAAACTTTCGATTTAATCAGTGCTGCAAGTGTCACTCCCTTCGAGGCCAGGGCATCTCATTCGCTAGGCAAATCCGCAGACGGGAAGTAAACTTTTCTTTCAATTATCTTGTCTGTGAAACTTGTAAAATTAAATTTTGCGCAAAATTGTAAAACATGTTGATCTTTTCCGGCTGCCTAGCTCTTCCAAAACAAAGTCAAAGCTTTTGATAATCAGTTTACTTTCCAAATCTAAAATAAGATTTTAAATGGTTTTGTTATATAAGTAATTTGAGCAAAAGCTTTCCTTTTCAATTCATTATGTAAAAAATTCTTATTTTAGCTTACATAGTGGCAACTAAATTTATTGAACTACTTTATTTTATTAATGATGAACATATTATATTTATTCTTATTTGACTTAAATATATTTTATTAAATATAATAATGGTTTAAATTTAAATTAAATCTTCAGGTTTTAAAACCAATTCGGAAAAATATGAAATTTAAAATTTAAAAAAATTCATATTGAAAATAATTGAAAACCGCAATGGATGAAAATCAAAGGGAAAATATTTAAATTGAGCAAAAAATATTTGGATTTACTACGTTTTTTTTTAGCATGTAAATGTTTTCGTTGATAAAAAGGTATTTTAATTAAGTGCGGCAAGCACTAAAATTTCATCTTACGATTTTCTAAAATTCTTTTTATAAACTTTTGATGGTTTTGATTCAAATTAAACAGAAAATAATTTTGGGCTGATGAAATGATTTACTATGTTTAACTTTGGTTTTCTCAGTTTAGTTTGAAAATCTTTCTAATCACAGGATCGGGTATGAGGTTAATTGATTATGACCCCAATATGGTCAATGCATCTTCCCAAAGACTTCAATTGACTAACCAATCAAAGCGGACTTCTTTTGTCGCTTATGTAGTTTAATAAGCCTTCGTATAAACAGGCTTTCATGCTTTATTTTATCGCAAACATCTGACCCTTTGTTTCCTTTCGCCCACAAAAAACAGGCGTAAATATTGACTCGAAGGAAGTCACAATAAATTGCGCTGACAATTGCGAATCAGCATTCAACAAAGAATCGGGGCCAAACGTGACCTCCTCGGTCGCCCAGGAGCAGCGCTGCGAAGGACACGTGCTGCTCGTGACTCCGGCAGGTGAATCTGGCCAGGTGGCTGGTGCTTCGATGGCGGCGGCGGTGGCGGTGGCCAGAACTGCCATTGATACCGAACGCAAATATGGGAAAATATCGGACGACATATATCTAATGTACCTGCGAGCCGCCGGCCTGCCCATAATCACCGTCTTTTTTATCACAGCACTAATTTGGCAGTGTTTGCGTGTCTACACGGACGTTTGGCTGCAGCAATGGAGCGATGTCCATGTGAAGGGAGTGGGAGGGGATCAGAATGGGGAGCAGGTCCTCCATCAGGACGAAAGGCAACTGGATGTCACGGAGGAGGGCCACGAAGTCACGTACTATTTTCGCATGTATGCCGCAATTTCGTGTGTTTGCATTATAATGGCACTGGTTGCAACACCGGCCGGACAATACGCCGGCTGTAATGCTCGTCGTAATTTGCACGATAAGCTGCTGCAAACGATTTTGCATAAAACGTTGCATTTTTTCCAAGTGACGCCGCTGGGACGTATTGTGAATCGTTTCAGCAACGATATGGCCGTCATTGATAAGGTGAGATTTGTTATAGTGGTATCTCTTATATCGACATTTTGTCCTGACACAAAAATCGAGGGCAGGCCATATAGATATATATAGATGTCTGCCCTCTTTGATTGATATTGCACTGCGATAAGCACGCGTTTGCTGCACTATTTCATCCGGTGCATGTCAAAAATGGAAAATGCCTTAAATAACCC